CATCACCATCATCATCATCATCATCATCATCATCATCACCATCACCACCACCATCATCATCATCATCATCATCATCATCATCATAATCATCATCATCATCATCATCATCATCATCATCATCATCTTCTACCACCATCACCACCACCACCATCATCATCATCATCGTCGTCATCATCATCATCATCACCATCATCATCATCATCATCATCATTACATCATAACATTCAAACATCATAACATCGTCATCATCATCATCGCCCTCATCTTCATCCTCATCCTCATCCTCCTCCTCCTCATCATCATCATCGACCTCATCGGCATAATCATCATCATCATCATCACCATTATCATCATCATCATCATCATCATCATTACCTCCACCATCATCATAATCATCATCGTCGTCGCCATCGGCATCAAAATAATCATCATAATCGTCATCATCATCACCATCATCACCATCATCATCATCATCCTCATCCTCATCATCATCATAGAAATAATCATCATCAGCAGCAGCATCCTCATCAGCACCAGCATCCTCATCATCACTTTCATCATAATCATCATCATCGTCATCGCCATCGTCATCATCGTCATCGTCATCATCATCATCATGCTACTCATTAGAATCACCAACCCCATCAACAACCTCAACATCAAAATCATCAACATCAGCAGCTGCATCGACATCGGCATAACAATCATCATCATCACCATCAGCATCATCATAACCATCATCGTAAACATCATAATCACCGTCATCAGCAGCAGCATGGTCATCATCACCATCATGATCGCCATCAGCATTATCATCACAATTCGCATTATCATCATCAGCATCACAATCATCCCCAGCATCATCATCAACATCATCATCATCGTCCTCAGCATCATCATCGTAATCAGCATACTCATCATCATCAGCAGCATCGTCGCCCTACTCATCATCGTAATCAGGATCCGCATCCTCATCCTCGTCCTCATTTTAAGCTTCACCCTCACCCTCAGCCCCATCCTTGTTCCTTATTAAAATGCACCCCCAGCTACGTCGTATTCCGGCCGATAGCGACCCAATCCGGGACCTCCCATCCGGACTGTAGAAAATCAATACAAAGTGGCCGTTTTTCTTCTCAACATCGTCTTTCTTGGTCGACGATGCGACAAGCGTGGCAGGAATGGGACGCGGCGCACATCGCGCGCGGCAGTCAAGCTGGGCCCACCCATCCGGACTGTAAAAAATCAATACAAAGTCTTCGTTCTTCCTCTCAGCATGGCCTGTCTTGTCGCCGACGGTGCGAAATATGCGGCAGCAACGGGACGCGGCGCACATATGGGGCGCGGCGCACATCGCGCGCGGCCGTCAATCCGGGCCCGTCCATCCTGACTGTAAAAAATCAATACAAAATCTCCGTTGTTTCCTCTCAGCATGGCCTGCCTTGTCGCCGACGGTGCGAAATATGTGGCAGGAATGGGACGCGGCGCACATCGCGCGCGGACGTCCATGCGGGCCGCGGGCCCTCCCATCCTGACTGGAAAAAACAATACAGAGTTGCCGTTGTTCCTTTCGTCATGGCCTGTCTTGTCGTCGACGATGCGAAGTGCGTGGCAGGAATGGGGCGCGGCGCACATCGCGCGCGGACTTCTGGGGCAACCCCAAGGCGGGAGGGGCCACCTTACTTGTCAGAAACAATGCCATGCTGATTTCCCCTGCCCACATAGCTGTTTTTGTCGTCCACCCCGCAAAAGTGCATGGCAAGAATTGGGCGCGGCACGCCCCCTTCCCCCCCCGCTCGAAGTGAATGAAATGACCTTCTCGCTTGGGCGCCGAGCGAAATGTTCTCAAAGTTGCGCTCCCGCTTTGGCTCGGCGCACGCGTTTAGCTCGCCAATTCATTGGGCGCCGGGGCGTTTCAGGAGGTCCTGGGGTGACGAATGCCTGGGAGGGTTTTGCTTGTTCAGGCTCTTGGAGGGCCTCCTGAGGCTCCCATCGGTTTCTTGGCGCTACGGCCGTCTGGAGGCCATCTTGGGCGTCTTGGAACCATCTTTCGGCGACTCAGGGCTACTACTACTACTACTACTACTACTACCACCACTACTACTACTACTACTACTACCACTACTACTACTACTACTACTACTACTACTACTACTGCTACTACTACTACTACTACTATTACTACTACTACTACTACCACTAACACTACTACTACGACGACTACTACTACTACTACTACTACTACTACTA